TCCCATGGCTTTAGCTTTGTGTTTGCATACTGAAACAGTGGAATAACATGGTGAGCATGGTAACCATGGTTACCTTGGAAAGTGTCTGCCTTTTAGCAGTGTTATGATGAACAAGTAATTGATAAATGTAGATAACCTACGCTGCCATTCATTCCAGCAGTGTGCCAACCACGGGCTGAAAAATGAATCCACCGCAAAGTATTAAACACTGCAGTTCCTTTTATGGCCACTTGAGGCTGCGTCCAAATAAAGAATTTGCAGAATAAAAGGTTTTGGTCTATATGCACACAAAACACACACTCCATCCCCACTGTCTGGGCTTCCATGGACAATAGCTACAAGATGACAGTAATACAAACGACGATGCAAATAGCAGCTTTATGGAAGGGCAAGCAGGGCCTGTTTTGCTTGCCCTGATGAAATGCCACTGCCTTTGATTGGCAAGATTGTGGAAAAACCTGATGTGGAGTTTAGATAAGTAGGTAAAGACTGTTTGTCTGTGATGTTTTACTAAAGCTGCTGGGGTCCCCTTTTTGCAGCTGCTTTTATTTATTTTAGAAGAGATTAAAGGTGCTGTAAGCCATGCTGACAATGCCAATAATCCAGATGCCACAAGGATGTCCAATTTGTCCGTCCTTGTGGCATATTACAGTACCAATCCAAATTTATTGTATAGGAATTTCAAAAAAAAAAGAAGAAAAAAAAAGCTTCCCGGGAAATTGATTAATTTCATAGTATATTCTTTTATTTTACAAACAAAAGGGCCTGTGTGGAGGATTAGGTGTGACTTCTCCTGCCCTCCATAGTCATAGGTGATGAAATGAAAACTTCACTGACAATGTTTTTCAGGAGAGCCAACAGATAGTTTCAAATTATGAACATGTAGCTCTGCTCTCAGTTTTGTTGGAAACTGAAGGTGGTGAAATTAGATCGCAGCTGTAATTAAAACGCAGAAATATGTCCTAAATGAAAGGCAGCTCCATCAGCTTCACTAATTAATTAGTTCTTAAATAGTTAATTAAAAGGAAGCACACTTGCTCAGTGGTTGGCACTGATCACATAGCGAGTAGACTGACTAAGGTGTCGGAGTGCAAGTTGCTCATTCTGTTTCCTCCCACAGTTCAAAAGCATCAGATGATGGGGCTTCCTGGTCTCTTTACCGTTTATGAGCTGTATTTACTGACCATATGAGAATCTCTCAATCAGTGGAAATACATCTATGTCTACAACAGAAATTAATACAGAAGTCAACTCTTTCATTAATTCTTTTTTTAAAAAGCTTACAAACATGGTTGGAAATCAGATTTCTGAGTTTAACAAGAATACTGAGCCTTTTTATCAAATCAGTATCGTGACTGTCCAAATGTGGGTCATCTTGACTTAAACAGTTTAATTATGAGGCTTCTGTTGATTTAAACATAATTAAATAACTAAATGTTCTTTAGTAAAGGCTCAACCATCCATATTTTTTCTCCGACCCAGTTTTTTTCATTTCATCCAGTGAAATAAAGGCTGCTGGGAAAGTTCTTGTGCATGCCGAGCTTTACATAAGAAATCTACTAATACGATCGTGCTGACATACTATTGAAGAATTTCAGTGGGATGACATCTCTTGTTGCTACAGTGTGTTTCCTGCCAACACTCCAACATCCAAGTGACCTTAAACAACATGTTTACATGTGAAATGAATTCCATTTGCTTCCCACATGAATCCAGAGGAGTTGACAATAAAATACATTTAACATTCGGAGTGAATCTGTCCTTCACTTTATTACTGTTTAATTACAGTTTCTTGAATTTCTTTTGTTGTGCTTCATTGACTACAGTCAGAACATTGAATTCTTTTGTGCTAACAGAATCCAGATTGATGGTGGAATATTGGATCTATTGTTTTGCATCACAACAAATTATAGCATAATTAGAAAATAAAATGCAAATTTTAAAAGAAATAAATCAGGACAAAAGATGAATAAAGCGAGCATTACTTATGGTTGTAGAAAAATGGGTCACATCTGCACATTGTAGCCAGTCTTGAATGTAAATTTGTGATAATTCATATAAATAACATCACTACCGTACTCTCAAAATATTAGGTGCATGTGTTAACTACTAAAATGACGACCCACACACTAAATAAAACCATAATTTATCAAATGAATAGAAAAGAAAAAGTTATTTTAAAAGGTTTTGCCATAGATTTCCATAGAGCTCAACATTGACCTCCCACTTTTTCAAAGGCTACATTCTGGTATTAAATTTTCATGTCATTTTCTTGAGAAAATCCCTATATAAAGTTTTTATAACTTCACTGCTTTCTCAATGCATTTTTTTCTTACTAGTCTGATGTCAGTTAAGCCCCGCCTCCTACTGTATAAATATGACCTATCAAAAATAATTAGGCATCAAAGTACTCTTGGGAACAGCTGCATGTTCTTAATTCTTATACATCATTTAAAAAACCAAAGATTAATGAGAAAATATATAATGAAATACTTAACCTCCTAATTACATTTTTAAATCCACCCTTCAACTTGCATAAGAACTCCAGCAACAGTTAGCCAAATGTATGTTAAGCTGATGCTAACAAGCTAACAGCCCATTGATAACATTAGCATTTTGTGTTACATAACTTTGTGATTTTACCGGTTATATTTGAATGTCTTTGCATGACTTCCTAAGTTTGTAGGAACTGAGACTGTTTTGGAGGACGGCGCCAATGAGATGAGACTGGTAAGAATAAATGTTACAATTAGGCAATGATGAAAATGTGAAACAGCTATTGTTAAAAATGCCAAAATTTTATCACTATTTAATCAACAATTGCAAATAAACTTTTAACTTTATACAAGTGCTGTTACTATTTTGTCTGTAGTTTAATTGCTTCTGCAGGTCTTCACTTCTTTTTTTCTTGTTCGGTTAGAGAAATGTAGCCTATTTGGCCTTGAACAAGTGCATTAAAGTCAGATTCAGTGTCAGGGACAACCAAAGGGCAGGATGTAGCTGTACAATACCCAGGTCTGGTCTTAAAGCCTTATGTAGGTCTCAGAAGTTCTAGAACTTCAAAGTTCTGTGACCAGAACTTTAAAACAACATCCTCTAAATAAAAACTAGACAAACATAGCAACAGTAACCAAGGAAAGCAGTGCTTTTGTGTAATTATTCCATCTCCATGGCACTGGGGGATAAAGTGCGTCGTTATAAACGAATCAGGCCTCTACCAGATTAACAAAAGCTTCTGCACCTTCCACTCAGCTCTCTCATCTCTGTCTACTTAATTTTTTCTATTCAGCTGCTTCAGACTCACTGTGCCGATCTCTTTCAGCAGTTCTGCTCATTGTTATGCAGATGAAGCCCAGTAAACTTGCCTCTGTAAATCCAAATGGGATGAAAGCCATTTCAGAAGTCTCTCACTTCCTCACTGACAAAAATGTCGAATGCCGGTCTTAAATGAACAGCCTGCCTTGCTGTTGGAACACCTGCAGAGACGCGGTGCTGCCATAACAAGGTCCATCAATCCACCCCGAAACGGTGGATGAATGTTATCAGATGTTGTTTTGTCGGTTCTGTCTTCTGCCATCAGTACACTGTGGGGCATTGGGGAAAAGTGTGAACATCAAAAGTTTGTTGTATGAACCTTTTCAAACATCCCTGAGAATATGAGAGACTGCTGGCAGAACTGGGACAGTTGGGAGAGAAAAAAAACAACAAAAAACCGTCTTTATTGCTGAATGAATTCTTTGTAATGTAAGATGGCACTGATCCTAGCCGGGGTCTGATCTTCTTTGGTGGTTCGGCCAGCTGTCTCAGCTTTTTTGGCATCTTTATGTATTGTTGAAAACAGACATCAATTTAGGAGAACATGACTATGTGACGAACATCTTATACAGAGTCATCAGGATGAGTCCTCATTGCCTCTTATGTTTTACATTTCATTTATGTTTCATGAAATCTGGGAAATAATCCTTTATACTCAAGCTAATACTATACTAATACTAATACTAATGCAGAATGACTATCAAAAGCTGTTGCAATACAAAAAAGCTTAAATTTTTTGTCAGCAAATGATAGACATCCTATATCCATCCAGTTTCTGGCACTTACATGGGTCTGGGTTGTGAAGGGGGAGGCAGTCGACACTCTTCTCGGGGGACACTGAGGTGTTCCTCCTGGCTATATGAAAGACCTCACATGGGAGACGCCCCAGTCGGGTACCAGAACTACGTTAGCTTGCTTCTCCTGTGGACCCGTCACTCATAGGAGGGTATAAGGCCTCCTTCAACTGTGGATTGGGGTGGCACTCAGGGGCAAAGGTCCTGGGAGTCCGATCACCAGCTCCCAAACTACTAAGGGTTGTCCTATCTCTGCATGCACAGTACTGCACAATGCATCTACTACATGATACACCCATTTCGCATAAATCAGTCAATTTGAAGTTATATTATCTACATCTTTGTGGTATATTTCAGTTCTGTTTATAGCACACTCTGATGAAATATTCAATGTGTAAAGTACAAATTGTGCAATAAAATCAAATGTAAGTCAGTGAATTGTGAAAAAGCTTTTATTCCAACTAAGGATGTTACTTTCCCTGAGAAGTTAGCGTACAGCGTTACACAGGATGATCTACAAAATGTAGACTGGTCACAGTTAAAATCCCAGTTTCCTAATTATTCAGGCATACAGGATCTGTCAAAATGACAAAAAACACCACAAAGTTAGTGTAGTAATAGAAATAATATGCAAACTCAAAAGGCACTACCTTTTATTTCCTCCTGCAGCCTTTAAGGCACACACTTTTCATTATAACAGGCTCAGGTCCTAATCTTCTCAAGAAGTACCCACTGTGCATCTGCTCTTTTACCCCCTTTCATTTTCTGTGCGTCAGAGCTACAATCCATCTTTCTGACGTTACCTATTCAAAGTCCCAACAGAGGTTTGATTGCAATGAGCAACTCCCACTCTGTCTGATTTTTTTTCAAACAGTTTAACAGCTGTGGATGTTCGTTCTGTTTAAGGAAAAAGAGCTGACAACAATTCAGATGCTGAATGGTTCACCGTGACCAAATATTTATTCGCCGGTGCAGTCTGACTTAGAGTGAAACTGGTTCAAAGGAAGTGATAGGCGCCAGCTTTTACCACTTTACTTCCCACATTCTGATTCACAGTTTCAATAAAAGCGTAGGCTCCTTTTCTACCAGCTCACATTGTAGTGACATCCACAGAGTCATGTATGTCAATCACCTGAAAGCCCGGGTTATCAATCCCCCTCTTTAGCTGGTTATTGTGATTTTCTTGGCTGTGGTTGTTGTGGTTTCTCTGGTCTACGTCGGCCTCAAAGCAGTGGACGCAGTGTGGAGTGGTGACCCGGACGCTCTTGGAAAAGTTAGAAAAATCCACATGGTACTTTCCTGTCTTGGTGCGGGAGATAATCGGCAGAAAGCTGTATCCCCACTGGATCTCCTGTGGGATGTAGGAAGTTCGGACCTGACAGGAGGAGCTGGTGGACTCGGCTGTCCCATCCAAAAAGACCACCAATTCAAAGTCCTGCTGAGGAAGGGTGTCAGCCGACAAATCAAAGAAAGGACTCGATCTGTTAATCACATGGTACAGGGTCAAGGGGCAAACAAAAAACAAGTTATCCTTGCCAGCATCAACCATGAAGTCAATATCCACCTGGTCCAGGATGATGGTCTCGCCATCCGGTGTGGTCGTTGTCCTCAGCAACTTCCCATAGATCTGGCTTCCGATTAGTAAGGTCTTTCGAAGGTTGGCCACTCTGATCAGGAGACACAGACTTCCTTTCTTCAAGCAGATGACAGCTGTGTGGCTGAAGGTCACAGTCTTTGCCCTTTTCTTTGGTAAGGAGATTTTAGCTAGGATGATACCACACATGAAGCAGTTGATAAAAACCCCAACTAGAGACTGGATGACAATTAGAGCCACCGTGCCAGCACAGTGGCCAGTCAGTGCCCTGCCTCCATACCCAATGGTGGTCTGGGTCTCTAATGAGTACAGGAATGCCGTTGTGAGCCCATTAACGTTGTCTATACACTGGATGTGTCCTTCAGTGTGGTTCTGTCCAGCGAGATCCCCGTTGCTCTTTGCAATCCAGTACCACAACAGGCTGAAAATGAACCAGCTGCCTGTGAACACAGCCACAAACAAAAGGAGAACAAACCGCCAGCGAATCTCCACAAAGGTGGTCCAGAAGTCTACCAGGTACGCAAACTGGTTACTGTACTCGATGTTCCCGAACTCAATGTTGCAGTGCCCGTCTTTGGTGACCAGGCGGGTTCTGTGGTTTCGTTGTCCAGCTGGCTGGTTGTGACCCTGGAGCAGCTGGAACATCCTGGAGCTGGAGGAACAAATACAGTTAAGTATTAGAGAGTACAAACTCTCCTCTAGGGAAGTTAATGCTTGCAAAATCACACATGCAACACCTACACATTCAGAAAAAAAACCCTCTCAGTTTACATATTTCTACCTTTATTACCGCTATGACCTTTAGCACCTTTAGTCTTCTTTCAGATAATTCCACTTTTAGTACCTTTATTCTACTGTTTGATAATTCTACTTTTATTACCTTTGTTTTACGTTTGTCAGGGGTTGTTTTTAGTATTGTCTTTTGTACCTTAAAAGGTCAGACTTGTATTTAAATGAACTAGTTTAAAAATTTGCAAAATTAGGTACATGCTGCCCCTTATTTTATAATATGCTTTTTTTCATCTTACTGATGGCTCAAAGCTCCCACAACTACAAAGCAGATACAGAATGAAACTTGTCAGAGTGTAAAATCTTAAAATCTAAGCATTAAATGTTTTGTATTTGACCAAACAAAGACTCTTTCCTGATATTGCACCTAAAATCTAGAAGAAATTGTACTGTACTAAAAGGTACACACAGTTACTTTAAGGTAAAATAATTAGCCCAAGAGAGTAGATTCAGGTTCACTGTTCCGCTGGGACAGAAACTGAGTGTACTATCGTTTAACGTTATCGTTAGAATGAGGAGAAAGTTAGCTGAGACCTTACACAGATAATATTAAAAAAAACATTTGACAGATTTAATGTCCACATAGACAAACAGGGCAAAAGTCAGTGTGTTACACTAGTGATCTGTGTTTCCATGCATGTCTAACTACCAAGAAAATCTAATTTAAAGACTAAAACAAATAATGATTCGATTTTGATTAACAAGTATTTTCTGCGCTGGCCTGTTGCTCATTCCCGTGTGACACGGAGCTCCATTATCATTATAAATCTATTAGAAACATCAATTAACCACTCAGTTTATTACCACAAACACACACACTACATTTAATTTAGATTTAATCACACATACACATGCCCTGCTGCTGTAAATACTAATTACAGGAATTTGTAACTGAGAATAGCCCCTCCACAAATCCACATTTACACCTTTAACTGTTTAAAAAAAACTATGATGCACAGCAAACTACTGAACCTTTTTTTTTTTTAAATAAAAGTGTAATGCATCTTATGGATTTTAGTTTTGTTTATGAAGATTTACAAATAGAGCAATAAAAAAACAGGTTTTGAGCAGAAATATATGAGCAATATGATCATACGGTTTTAGCCAGTTTTGTTAATTAAGGTTTTATGTACTCAAATATGAGATATTATAGTATTTTTTTTTTAATTGTAAAAAGAAAATGTATAGATTCCTGTCAAGTAAGGTGACCCAGACTCATTTCTTGCACTGTAAATTACATTTTGGCCCCCCAATGTTTTCTTCAGTAGAAAAAAAGACCACTCACAGATGCATTGTTCTGGTCTTCTTATAAAACATGTAAAACCTGCACCAGGCTCGTTCAACCTTGACCATACAGCCTTAACCAGTAAACAAATGTCAGAACAAGACAGAAAAGGGGGACTAAAATTTAGAGATCAAGGGTATAACAGGTAGAGAATTTCCTTTCTTATCATTAGAATAGAAGTATTTCCAAGATAATACATAACCTATGTATGCACAAATACATTGTACTTATTAACTGATCTGAATGGTCGTTAAATAGCAGAGTATGTACCGTGCAGCGTGTACCGCGTGGTCCACTTTGAGTGTTGCATAAGACGTACTGAATAGATGGCAAAAAGGACCCAAAACTTTAAAAGTTACATATTTTTGGACTGAAGTTTACCCCAGATTGAAAATAACCACAGGTTGTATCTTAAGAGCTATTTGTTCAACATTTAACCGTTTTAACAACTGTTTTTTTTTTTCAGTCATTCATGGAGGTGAATGACTGAAAACGGAGGTAATTTTCTTCCAAGCAGCTACAGTCGCCCTAAAAACACTATGGATTATATATATATATATATGTGTGTGTGTAAAATAAGTAAAGCTTTAGATCTTCAGTTTTGTAGAAAAATAGAAAAGTTTTGTTGGGACATACCTGCTCCGTGAGACCATGGGCCCAAAGTGCTCACTGGATCTCTGCAGGACCTTCAGACTCCTTTCTTTCAGCAAGTGGCCATGGAGGCGTTGGAAAGATTTTAATCCACAGTGAAATTTCCTAATCCCAGCCACATGCCACCATGTACACTGGCTCCATACACTCAGAAGAGCCAGCCAGGGAGCTCCCAGTGGCCGTCAGTCCTCTGAGACCGACAGAAGGACTCTCTTCTTCAACCCATCAAAAAAGTTTAATAACACAACCTCGGGCTTCATCGGGAGTGGGCTCGCCTCGGCTGCAGCAGCTTTTGACAGTGTAGATTTGGGGACCAGCACGAGGAGGGGGGAATGTTCGGGAAGTTTGGTGTAAAAGGCCTCGACGCCTTTGTGTGGCTGAAGGTGCGTCTATTGAAGAGGCCTCAGTGACCGGTGCAAGCACTCATGCTGTTTTGTTTTCAGCCCTGAGAACATTTGAGATTTACGTCAGGCCTCACAAAGAATTCCCTCAGTTGCATTTCCCCTGGTTCCCCTCCCCCTCTTTGAACCTGCAAGGCTGCCTCCCATTTACATCAGAATGAAGAGCTGCAGGGCAAGAGTGTCTGCAATATTCTGCTGGCTGCAGGAGGACCATTTTCATATCTGTGGAGCAGATTACCATGATCTGTGATGCTGAATTGATAAGCCCACCCCAACCCCAGCAGTGATGAATATAAATGCCACAGCTGCATGTATGTAAAGGGAGAAGGAAGTGGATGCAGAGGGTCTGCAATTCAGATAGAATCTTACAGGCTCCTGTAGCAGCGTAATTTAAAGAAAGTCATCTCACACCCAAGTGTGTTTAGCTCCAGGCGCTGTGCATTTCTAAACGTGCTGGCAGAACACATCTGCACATCACACTCTGCAGGTTCATTGAAGGGAAAGTTCAGCATTTGGGGAAATAAGCTCATTAAGTTTCTTGCCAAGAGTTAGAAAAAGCATGTCTGTATGCTCGATATGAGGGAAATACGACCCTCGACTGAGTTAGCTGTGCAAAAAGAATGGAAACGGCAAGAGGAGCACACCCTGGTTTAGTCCTCCACATCTCACTAATGAACGTTGATTCATACAAAAGGAGAACTGTGTGAATGTGAATGTGAAACACTATGAAGCAAGCTGAGGTTAAAAGGTGATATATAAGTGCAGACCATTAACAATCATCACATTCTCCCAGCAGGACTCCAATAAACTGCTGTGACCAACAAAGTCAGAGCACGTCAACTACAACTGTTCAGAGAAAATACTTTATTTTTATTGTTTTATTTTTATTTTTACACCATTTTTCACTCTAAATGTGATACAAAGTGGATCTTTGCGTGAAGAGGGGGGAAGAGGAAGCAGAAAGAGTTCAATCCAAATCGCTTATCCAGGCCGAGGTCAAAGACACAAAAGTTCGTTTCCAGTATGCTCACCTGTGCAAATCATGTAAATCCAATGATGACGAGTTCAAAGGTAAGGAAGCAGCAAAAAGACACAAAATTCAAAGAAAAGACGTGACACTTATTTTTTCAATGCAAAGGTTTCAGCCTTGTGGCCTTCAACTGCCACAGGCTAAGGAGGAAAACAACACTTTACAGTTCCTCCATGGAGATCCTGAGATATATATAATCTCTCCAGCAGGTTTAGGCCCTACCCTGGGGCGTCCACCTACTCGGATTTGCCTGGAAAACCTGGACACATCCAAGTGCGGGACAACATTGCTTGGAAGTGGGAAACCGCGGTTTCCTCTTGGAGCCAGAACTAGGAGGAGAGCATTTAAGGCAGTGTCTAATGGCCAGGCCTGGATGGAGCCGTGGACCCTGTTCACCACCCTCCAGGACAGGCGCTGGGGTTGAGTGCACAGCGAGCTAGCGAAGGTTGGAGCCTGAGAGTGTTGATGGTCACATTGTAGATAGCTGCCTCTCCTTGAGTGTGGATCAGCTGGAGGTTTCTTCCTGTTAAAAGGGAGCTTTTCCTTCCCACTGTCACCAAAGTGTTTGCTCATAGGGGGTCATCTAATTGTTGAGGTTTTTTCTCTCTTTTCTCTGTATTATTGTTGGGTCTTTAGCTTAAAATATAAAGTGCCTTGGGGTGACTGGTATTGTGATTTGGCACGAAATAAATAACATAAAATTGAATTTAATTCAGTTGAAAGGAACCAAAACAAGACAGACCAGACCAATCAGAATGGAAAGGAGCACAGACAATCCAAATAAACCATTTAATTTATTTATACTGGGTTCTGTGTGTGCTTTGGCTTTCCACATAAATTATGACAGATTTAATGAGCAGCTTTCTCAACATCCCTTAACTGTAAAATAAACCCCAATGGTTTTAATCGTGTGTACCCTGAGCTGATTTGATGACGGAGGGGGTTAAGTTCAGCCCGACAGCTCACTCATTACCATCTCTGTGATGAAAACATGATCCACTTTCAAGGCAGTTTATGAATTGCTTTCCGGTAACTTTGGCAGAGGGGCTTTTGTCGTAGCTCTGCTTTCATACTTACCTCAGAGGCAGTGAAGGAACCTGTTGGTGGGGTTTTGCCGGTGACTGACTCTGCCGTGCAAAATGATTCATTCTTTGCTGGTTTGCTGCATTGAGCGGCAGGAAGCTGAGATGTGGAGGATGCGGAGGTGTCTGGTCTGTGGGGAGCAGGATGGTTCATAAACTCCTCTGAAGTTGCAAGGCGAAACCACAAATAATGCAAAATTGTTTTTCAGCGATGGAAGGCAACACTTGCAGGTGCAATTAGTCCCAAACTTGTCGCTGTGTGCTGCTCGTACTTCTTCTGCAGCACCTGGCAGTCCTCTTCACTGTTTTTAAAGAGGGAACAGCTGTGCCATCCTGAACGATCTGGTGCCTGTCTTAGGTGTGATAAATTAACCTAAACTTGTAGAGTTTTCTGTAATTTAAAAATTATAGATGGACTACTATGTGGGAACAGTGGGTACTTGCACGGAGCCGGGAAGTCAATCAGGGCCCTTCACCAGCACGTTTCTTAATATTTAGTGTCACTTTTGATCAAATTCACAACATGGTCCAATGGGGAAAGATATTGTATCATTTTTATGACACACCAAAAAATACATTTTACATGTTTTACGTGATGGCAAGCTACATTGTAGCCACAGCCACCCCGGAGCAGCTGTGGCTACAATGTAGCTTGCCATCACCAGTGTGTGAATGTGTGTGTGAATAGGTGGATGACTGAATGTGTAAAGCGCTTTGAGGTCCTTAGGGACTAGTAAAGCGCTATACAAATACAGGCCATTTACCATTATTGTATTTACGTAAGTGATTTCTCTATCACTATCTCTACCACTAATTGAAAACAACAAATGGTTCACCTCATCTTCAGTTTCTTCAGTTCTAAAACCACAAGATAAAGAGTCCAAGGTAGTGGGGGTTGTCCCTTAGACCTACTAGGGCCAGTTTTCGCCTTTTCCCCTTCTTATGCACCTCATCACTGTGGTGTACATCCTTCTTCCTAAAAAGCATTATTGTAGCCAGTTAATGCTTTCCCCTGACCTTACAGCAGTATTCTTTTTTTTTATCATCCACACCAGTGTGACATTTTCCAGTTTGAAAGGTTAATTTTTGAATATATTTAGAATAAACAGATCCAGTCTTGGTATGAAAAATGAAAAGTCTGTTTTGAAACGTTCAGACTCCGATCTGGCATCCAGACCGCAGCTCCTGCTGCCTACATGTGTGCCCCGAAGCAATATTAACTCGCATGATAATCACAGGCAAAATATACAAGTGGCATCTGTGGTACTGACTTGAATTAATCACCTAGCTCTGGGTTCTAAATCTATACAGAGTTTGCATGAAACATGTCAGAAGCGATGACGCTCCAAGCTTAAAATTACCCACTGAAATGGCGCCATCTGCTGCATGTTTTGTGTAAAACACCAGGAACTCCTGCATAAAAGACTATTGTTTTGTTTGCAGTGCTCGATAAGAAAGTAAGGCGGATGTTTTTAAGAAATGAAATGCTTTGAGAGTGTCTACATATGAGGTCTTATTTTGAAAAGGTTCAGTATCTGTATATTTATGATCGTACTGACCACCTGCTGTGCAGCCTTTAATCACACAAATTCAATACAGAGTAAACATTCTGACAGTAAATCATACTGAGAGAAAGCAGATAACACCACCTTATATATGTTTACACATTTAAGTGTATGACAGATATAGTTTTTCACTTTCAGTAAGCAGATGATTGTCAAAGACATTTTTTTAATGATGTTTTTTAAGACATGGAAGCTGCAAAGTTCAGCTTACACAGGATAATCCGATGATCCTGTCACTAATTAGTTATTTGGAAAATTAGCTTTTCTTCTTTCTAAACTTAAATGAGTCACTGCACCGTTTTTATGCCTATCCCTTCTGGAGATTTAAAAGAGGAGCAGCGGCAACAAATGAAGGAAACAGGAAGTCAGGCAACAACTCCACATTTTTCTTGAAAAATTGTCTTACTGATAAAAATGTAATTACACTGATCAATACAACACAATTACAGTATATTGATCAAATTAGAAAAATACACAAAAAGTACACAAAGCTGTTAAAAGTACCACAGTTAAACCGTTGCATGGGACAGCACATATGCATCTGATGATGTTTCACTCTAAATTTGCACGTTCCGACTGCGTAACGGTACCAAACAGCCGAGTTCAGTGGAAATCTGGAAATCTGGAAAGCAGAAGTTATTCCTGTTACTCTGTATCAGGAGTGAGTCAGCTGCTGGCTGACGGTGCCCACTCAATTCAACGCTTGATAGTTTACCAAATTGAAATGCACAGAGGAGCCAGTCAGTTTCAAAATAAAAGACCCCGAGCAGAGTAGGTGCTCTGATTCTGAAACAAAATCTTGTAGGAAGTCATTTCCAGGGTTGTTATATTAAATATGACACTTTTACTATTATGGTTTATAACATAGTCTGAGCAACAGTTTTACTGTTTGCCTTTTTTGTGTTTAATGTCTTTAAGATCTTAAATAGTGTTTTCTGAAAATTTCTGTGCCTGAGAATTGGAAAAAATTCAAAATCTTTAAATATAATAAAGAAATGTATCAAAATCCAGGCTGAAAAAGTAAAATTTAGGGCATACTGACTCATTATTTTTGGTAACATCCATTAATACCCTAATTTATTTGTTTTTTGTTGTTGTAATTTTTAAAATTGAAAAAGTGGGATGACTAATACATACATTTTTTCCTTATTATCAGATTATAAAACTACAACAGAAAGTTGTAAAATTGATTAACAATATCAGCTATCATCACCATTTGGCTGTGATAATTGTGTAGTGAAGATTTGAGGCTGTGACAGCCAAATAATTTAATTTTAATAACTAAATCACACGTCAGCTACACATCAGAAAAAGCAACATATAAATACCTTTAAGATACGGGACTCATTTATGTCTTTCAGTGACACATCAGAGAGATCACACTATGAAAAACCTTATTTAAAGAACCAAATAAATGTTCTCTGAACCTGCTGTTGTGAGAACTGTGTTAAAAACTTTAAAGACGAATCTTTTAAAAGGCCCTTTCATTATTTTGTCACTACCTGGCAGGATGTCTAATAATAACCTGAGACATCTGCCCACTCTGACCTCTTTGCAGTCCCAAATGGTCAGGAGACATTATTCCCGCAGCTCCTGAAGACTGGAAATGTGCCGTATTCGGGCCTTTTCTTAAATCACTCAGGTTTTGCTTTTGCTTATCTGGATTGTAGAAATTATACTACCCAGATCTTATAAATCAATTTGTGTCATTAAAGTTATGTTTGCAGCTACAAAAATAAGACTTAGGTTATAATAATTTGGCTTCGGCAGGATGTGAAAGACATGATATCAGGGTTCGGCTCAGCTACACGATGTTCCTCTCCAGCTTTGGTTCCTGCGTCAGAATCCGGTTGAAACTGAAGCTGCTCAGGTCCAGCGTTTTATAGTTTCCGTCCAGAATCAGCTCCGCCACAGCGCGACCCACCGCAGGCGAGTGCTGCAGGCCATGGCCGCTGAAGCCCGTGGCGAAGTACATGTTGTTGATCAGGGGGTGCGTACCGATGATGGCGTTCTGGTCAAAGGTGTTGTAGTCATAGAAACCTGCCCAGGCACTGGTCACCTGAGGGGAAGAATGTGAGGACAAATGATGTTATTCTAAGTGATAAAGAGAGATCATAATCATTGTTTTGTTTTGGAAAAGCCCATTTCTGTACTAAGTTTTTAAATTTAACTCACTTAAAATATGGATACAATAAAATTAATCTGCAAGCTTCAAAATAAAACCAGTTCTGGCTGATAATAATGCTGTAATGCTGGCAGTAACCATGACGTGGGTGACCACACTTTCCCAACTGTACCTTAAGTTTCTCGAAAGCAGGAACTCGAAAGGCCAAATGAGGCCAGACATTCTCCTGAAAGAAACTGTGGTCCACCTCTAGATCACTGGCGTCTGGCTCTGCCGCCTGAGGACACACAACCAGTGCAAACAACGACATGATTTGCTCAGCTGTTGAATGTTAACATAAGGAAACAGCTCAGACGTCTTGATGCATTCTCAATCATCCAGGAAAGTAAATCTCCAAAAGTTGATTCTGTTCATCTGGATGTAGCGTTTGAGTTCCTCCAGGGAGGAACGCTGGTGTGAGCGCGGAGTCAAGGAGGCCATTTACGTGAAAAGGGAAAGACCATCTCTGAATCGAGGAGGGGGCCTAAGGGTACATCTGTCGCCGTCTTACAACGCTGTGATTGCAGCCATTCCCCAACTCTCTGTGAATGGTACTCATGGCCATTGACCAGTGGTCTTTGATCAGTGGTCATGAGAATTTGCATAATTACGATTAAGTAACTGACCTCCCAGCCCATTGTTCCTTCAGTGGGCTGGTTTCAGTCATTAGTTTATAAGATTGGGAAAACCTGCAGTCAGCTGAGACTGAAGAAGTCACTTGGATGAGTGACAAATGTTTCTCCCACAAAACGCTACGTCCAGATGAACAGAATCAACTTTTGGAGAAACAGCTCAGAGATAAAAACCAACCTCCTCTGGCGAGGCCCCGGTGATGTAGTTCCCACCTAACCCCTCTCTCCTGACGTAAACTCCTGAGTAATCGATTAAGAAAGGAGTGTCTAGACCGGGACCATCAGGACAGCGGACCACATACACATACCTGAAAAACAGTGACGAAGTAAACAGCTCAGAGTCGTACATCCAGTATGACATTATATCAGTTGATATTTCATTTCATGCCAAGATGTAAGTGAGGTTTCTCTGGCATGAACGTGATCAGACATTTACTCTGTTCTGCGTGGAAAAGTGTCTACAAAGAATTATCCAGAGAGCTCAAAACTCTGTCTTATAAAATGTTTATGTGATGGTTTGACAGCCGTTCAAGGCGGCACGAGGAAAGATTTAGTGGAGGTTTAAATAAGGCAGAAAAATGGGTAGCTTTTCAAAACACAGCCCACAGCTTAAGGTGAAAGTTTAATTTAACATGTGGCTTTTCTGAATTCATGCCAGGTAACCTTCAATACCTATGATTACTTAAAATGTGGGTGCAGGAAAGCAAGGAAGCAACATTTGGGAGTTTTAGAAGAAATAGAAGAAAAAAAGTATCAAAAAAATCCGTCTCTTGTTTTAATGACGTCGAATTTTTAAGGGTGTGGGCTATATTATAGACTATACTAACCTTTCCTTCTTTAGTTGTAATTACACAATATTATTAAGGATACACGTTACATTATAGACTAGCCTAACCTCCTTTTTTTTAGATTGCAATGTATAAATGAGGTAGGTAGGCTTTTTTATAATACGGTCTACACTGTGTTGTATATTTACAATTATAGAGAATCCTAACGTCTCCTTACATTATAATTGTACAGCAGTATCAGGGGTGCAGGCTGTATTAAAAAAGTATCCAAACTTTCCCTCTTTACATTTTTCTTCTTTCGACTGCTCCCTTTAAGATTCAGCACAGCAAATCGTCTCCCCACATCTCACCCTATCCCGAGCATCCTTTGTTCTCAGCTAACAGTAGCACAGTTTCCATCAGCACTCTGTTAGCCAAAGATAATGGAGGTGGTCTTTGTCAAGCCGAGCTCAGACTGATTTGGTATGGAAATCTCATTTTTTGATTTAATGGTGAATGTCCTTTCGTATTAAACACACCCATTTATCCAAGTTTGGGACTGGCAGTAGGGGTGCAATGGCTCTACCTAAATCTAAAGCCACCATTTACACAGAATGCTTGAGTCTGATGGCATACATACTCAAACATACTCAAACAGTCCAGGTCATGCCGACTAAAGTTATGTGACTGACTCGCTTGTATCCTACTTAGATTCATTTTTGTCTGTAGTCTAAATGATGCAGAGCAAGAGTAAAATGAAAAGACTGCAGATGGTAGACGCTGACAGGCAGCGGCATGAAGTTGGTTTTTCAATTTTTGGGGTGCGGAGTCTGAAAAAAGCTGTCTGGTATTGATGCGGTTCGCTGTATGAGGCGCTGCCTTTCAAAGAAAACTCTAGCAGCCCCTCGAGTCAATAGCCTACCTTTTCCGTGGCTCAACAGGCAGTGGGATTGCAGCGATGGACTGCTTGGGGCCAAAGCCAATTCCCAGCATCTCGGTCAGTTTACCAGAAAAGGCTCCTGCTGCATTCACCACAATAGCGCACTCCACTGGCTGGTACTCCAGGCTGTTTGGCATCTGCACCTGCTCGACACAAGCAGACATCCCATCATCAGAGGTGGGGAAAAAAAAGAAGTACAAACTTTTTACTTTTACATTTTCAAAACAGGCCCATTAATTTTGGTTTGACGTACTTGAGAGGAGTTATTTTTTCACGGCACTGTGAGCCTTCAAACATCAAACCGATTTGAGTCTGAGCAGGAACACATGAAAGGCAGCCCTGCTCGTGTATTAATCACCAGGAGATGTGGCATAAAAAGAGATGAAAGAGGGGGAAAAACTGTGTGGCATAGTTAAAGAGGTTAAAATGGGCCGGTGTTTTTATTTATTTATTTTTTGGCACAACACCGGCATGACTGCAGGTGTCCATAAGTCGCTGTACTTCAGCATCTCGCTAGCCACACACAAAACAAGCGTGCATAAAGATCTAACATGTTGCTTCAAGTTGATAGCTAAAGGTCCAGCTGCCGTATTTCACAGGGAGAGACAAGTACAGAATTATGTACTTTTACCTCCTCTACCCATCATGCACGTTTGTGCTTTTTCTGATTCAGTGCACAGTTTTAACAGAAGTATTTCGTGCCAATCAGTCAGCTGGAGCTTGAATTCCATATTTTCATTCTTGGACTCTTAGCAGAGTAGCTCAGCATATTTCACAGATCAAAATAATTCTAATGTAAAGTAGAGCTGGGCGATATGAGATTTTTTCATATCACGATATGTTTTTTTCATTTCAGGCGATAACGATATCTATCACGATATAAGCCAAATAACTATATTTGTAAGATTTAAATGTGCCGTTGCTCACAAGTAAAATGTGAAATAATCAGCAGCTTGTTTTTATTTAAATATTCATTTCCCATAATAAGTTCAACAGGGTAGATGTACTTAAGGAACATGAGACTTTTTCAGATAAATAAAGGCAAATATTGCAAACTACACAAAAGGCAGCCACTAAAGCGTTTAAGTTTCAAAATAGAACAAAC